GGGGTATGACTGCAATCGAGTGATTTGAATGTGGGCCTTCTCACTTGTGGATGGAATAGTAGTGATTTTGTGAGCAGTGGCTGAGAAGTAACAATTGAGGGCCCATCTAATAACACAAAAGAAGATTTAACAGGAGCTGTAGTTGGTTGCATAGAAGCAAATGGAAATAATTCTTCAGCAAACACTACATGGCGAGAGATATAAAGGCGCCCAGTGGGTATGTGTAGACATTGATAGCCATGGTGTTGGAGGCTATAGCCCAAGAATACACATGGCATAGATCTAAAGTCCAGCTTGTCTTTGTTATATGGCCGCATGCATGGGAAGCATAGACACCCAAAAATTTTTAAGAAAGAATAATTTGGCTTCTTGTGAAATAAACATTCCAGAGGAGATGTGCCATTTACTACAACACTAGGTAGCCGATTCATCAGATAAATAGCAATTTAAGAGGCATCAAGCCAAAAATGTTTGGGCATGGATGTTGTGGCAAGTAAGGTCAGTGATATAGCTTCAATTTGTCGATGCTTACGCTCAAATCTACCGTTTTGCTCTTGTGTATGGGGACAGACAAATCGATGAGCAATGCCTTCGGATTGAAGAAATTCATGAAACTTAACAAACTCACCACCCATATCAGATTGAATGGCCTTAATTTTTGTGTCAAGTTGATTCTCAACAAGGCGCTTAAAGTTAATGAATATAGAGAGGGCATCAGATTTGTGAGACATAGGATATAGCCAACAATAACGGCTAAAACCATCAACAAACATAATATAATATCTATAGCCATGAGGAAAATCTACCGGGGCAGGCCCCCAAACATCTATGAAAATGGTAGTTTTTTACTTCTTCCCATTTGGCAAGCACCACAAAATTCTAACTTATTATGAGAATCTATTGGTAAACAAAATCTATTAATAATAGTAAGAACCACCTTAGGTGCGGGATGGCCCAATCTCCTATGCCAAACATCAATATTTGTGCACTCTCCAACAACTGCAAATGGTGAATGTGTATCCATGTTATGTGAATTGGAGAGCTTGTAAAGACCGCCTTCATTCACCCCTTGGAGAAGAACTTTCTTGGTGAGAAGATCCTTCACATAAAAGACATGAGGATGAAATTCAAAACAGACATTATTGTCTATCGAAAATTGACCAACTGATAATAAATTTTTAGTAATATGAGGAACATGCAGAATATTTCTCAAATGCAAATTTCGATCTGAAGAAGGAATAATAGAAGAACCAATATGTTTTATAGGCAAACCAGATCCATTGCCTATACAAAGTTGATCAGGGCTAGTGTATTCTGAATGCACATTCAAATTGACAAAATCAACCATAAGGTAGTTCGTTGCCCCTGAATCAGGGTACCAAGCTTCACCACATGATGAGTCAGTAGATACATCAAAGGCTTGCTTTTTTTGTTTAAAAATTTCCCTTTCAAAGTTCCTGTCAAATCTGTACTTGCACTTAAAGGCTGAGTGATTCTTACCCCAACAAATATGACACTTATATTGAGGTTTAGAAGATTGAGGGTAAGATTTGTTGCCCTTAGAAAAATTATGAGAATCATTTATGTTGTTGAAATTAGCATTACCCCTAATAGCCATATTAGAAACTGGATAATTTGAATCAAGAGAACCATGAGAGCCTTTGAGTTGACCCAATCGAATTTCTTGATTAAGTAACATACCTTTGACGTCCTCCACTGTGTAGGCATCAACTCGTGTAGTGACAGCAGTAATAATTCATATTCTAAATCAAGCCCACTAAGAATAGTGAGAATATAATCTGTGTTAGAGAGAGGCTCACCTGCTGTAGCAAGATTATCTGTGAGATTCTTTACATTTTGAAGATACTGAGGAATAGAAAGAGCTCCCTTCTTCAAACTACGCAATTCAAAATGAAGTTGCATGACCCGAACTCTTGACTTTGAAGCATACAATTGCTCCAAGATTATCCATACATATCGGGAGGAGGTGCACCCAATAACCTGTGCAAGTACCGGTTCAGTAAGTGTCATAAGCAACCAACCCTTTAATAGTTGGTCTTGCTGCACCTAGTCTCGATAGGCCGAGCTTATGGTGACTTCAATAGATGCTTTAGTAGTGTCAGTGTGGTTGCCTTGCTTGGGCGAGCATTTTTCTGTGCCATCAACGAAACCTAATAGATGGTTTCCTCTAAAAACTGGAATAATGGATGACTTCTAAAGCAAATAATTGGTTCCATCTAGACGAACAGCAAAGGTGTTTGGAAGATTTAGTATCCTTCCACTGTGGGTAATAGTTTGACTCTCAGATGAGATGGATTGGGTAATGGATGGAGTTGACACGGTGTTTTGACATAGGTTTGATATAGCTCTGATACTATAAAATAGTTGAGGGTTGAGAGAAAAGATCCACTCTGGCTTACGCCTGGTGGGTGTGTGTATATAGATCTCAATTGAATACATCCTATGTACATGTGGAAGAAATATACAAGTAGATGAATCCTAATAGAAGTCTAGTAGTACAAGAGATAAAATATGGAGGATAACATAGATAAACCCAAGATAAATTTGGAAACGCAATTTCTGGGCTTCCGTTGAGAGTCTAATCCGTATCACATTTAGCCCCTATTTAGGAACATTTAAAATAAGTATTTCTTCAAATAAGTACATATTTTAAATGCTAGGACCACACAATAAGTGGATGATAAGTATTTATTCTTGTTTGGCAAAAGAGCCAAGAATAAGTGCTTATTTTGAAAATAAACACTTAAAAATAAACAAAGAATATGTAACTTTTTTTAAGTGCTTATTCAATTAACACTTATTTTTTGGGACAAAACTGTCCCCAAATATTTCTATAACTTTCAAGGATTCCCCCCTTCTTCAAAGGACGATAGAACCCTATCATCTTCTCCATTCAAATGTCCAAGAGCAGCGAAGACAACTTTTCTGGTACTTTTACAGCTTAAGGTGCAATAAACCCCACCATTTAGCCCCAATTTTTCATGTTATTTGTTTCATTTTCTTCATTTCTCTAGGCCCTTTCCTTCTCAATTATTGTTTTTGAATCATATCGCCCTAATTTGTGATGGATTTACAAATCCAACACGTAATCAATAGTAGCTGGTGGTGTCCCATATAATGCCCTTTTTTTTACTGTGTTTCATCAAAATGTGTCAATATCATATTCAAAAATGTCAAATATATGCCTGTGTTTAGTTAGGATTATAATTGTTATTTTCATAAATATAAGTAATTATTGAATAAGCGGCTCACCAAACATTGCAACACAAATAAGTACATAAAATAAGTATAAATGGTTTGGGAAAAGACCCTCCAACACTAATAAGTACTTATTCGCCAAATATAACCTTAACCATGTTCCAAGCGTTTTCACTTTTCCCAACTCATTTCCACTCAACCATGTTATTTTTTTTTCTGGAACTACTATTTAGCATGCAAATGCAAACATTTAAAGAAAATTCGACTTGAAGTGCAGAAATTAATTTCGAAAAAAGAAAAATAGCACACATATATTATGCATAAATGTCTTTTCTCTACAAATGGCCCTTTAATTACTTAAGATTTAAGTAATTATGTTGTCATCGCCATTGTCGTCATCATCATCATCACCACCACCATCATCTTCCGAGCCTTGTCCCATTTATATGCGTGAATCTTGTTTTGTCATTCTGTTCTGTGCAATGCCATATCGATTGTTAATTATGTATAGTCAGAAAAATACATTAGTTAGAAGATGATAACTAATTAGATTACATTTACAAAACTATTGCTAATTAGACAATTAATATGGACATACATTTTTGTCTTTTTTTTTCTAGTTATCTTGCTGCATTCTCTTCTTTTTGCTCGATCCCCTCAATGAAGCATCCTTATATAAGAATGCTGAGAATATAGGAAACAAATTGATTGACTGGGGTATTTCAATGAGCAATCAATAAATACTGTAACAGGTGTATCAGAAATTTCAAGGATAGGCTGGGGGTATTTTAAGGGACAGGTGTCAAAAAATTTAATAAGTATTTACTTAGTGTGCTCACCATGTATGCCAACCTGATCCGGACTGAAATCAAGCTAGGTGGAATACAGGTTTCTTGCAAGAATCCTGGTTAGCATGACATAATTGTTTTATTAAGTATATCCATGCCTACCTAAATATATGCAATATTGGATCAGTTCACAAGCTAACAATAAACTAGATAATCTTATAGTAAGACTCAATGGTTACCATTGATACCACAACCTGTTCTTTCTATGTTGATATAAGAAACAAAAAGGGATCAGCCCCCCACAAAATTGCCTCTCACAACGTCCCACAGCACATTCCTGCCTTGTATTAAAAATATCTCCCAATAATAATACCAGAAATGGTGATATCATCATCAAGAGATGTTCCCAATACACGGAAAGAATGTGCTATAGGACATTGTTGGGGGCAGATTTGATCTCACAAAAAGGTGTGGATCAATTGCAAGAGCTCAAGCACCACAGCCTATGCTGGATTCAATAGTGTTAGAGTCTGCAAGACTACCTAGTATTTAACAAGAATGGTAACCAAGAGCCCATAAACTAATTCAGTCACTCTTAAATGAACTAAATGCATTATAATCACAATTGGTAATTAACTCCTGATTGGTGATACTGCAAAGATAATATATGTAGTCATTATAAGGTAGTTTGTAGTTGAATAAATATGACATGGTCTCCATTTCTAGAAAAAGAATAATACCAAGAAAGGCATTAACGCAAATTATACAAAATATACCATAGTCTTTTCAAATGTAGTATGTTACGTGGACAATTTATTTTTAGTTATCATCGCTTTAAATGTCAAATTCATTTTTGACATTTCTTTGTACTAATTATGCCCAGAAGTTTCGGGTGTATCTACATGCCCATTGTATTTTCTTACAGCCTATTGTTTACTTTAGAAATGAATGAAATTCATAAATGAAATAAAAATTCAGGAAAATTATGAATCCATGGGCTTTCATGTTTATAGCTCTGTTTGCACTTTTTTTTCCTTCTATAATATTATCCATGTGTTGTCTGAAATTCTGAAATCTTGATTTATCTGTTTCTTGTTTATTGCTGAAACTTCTTAGGTTATCTCCTACAGTAATGCCTCACTGTGTTGTCTGAGCATGGAAGGTGAGAGAGTTCCAACAGCTCAATCAAGCAAGAATAAAACCTTTCCTGCTGGTCTCCGCATTTTGACAGTGGATGATGATTCTACATGCCTTAAGATTGTTGAAAAAATGCTTCAATCTTTAGATTATCAAGGTATTCTAAGGACGTCTCATGCTTGTTGCATTAAGATTTGAGCTTAGTTGTAGATCTTACTGATTAGCTCTTCAATTCCAAACGATCGATTTCCATGTCCTTGTGCCTTTAGAGTTGGTAGTAAAAGTCGGAATTCATGAAAAACCATTGAATTGGAGAAATCATGCCTATTTTTATTATGGAAAGATGGAACTACCACCACCACATTCTCCTCCGATCTAAAACCTTTATCTTATTTTGTGGTCGTTTATGTTTTACTTTTCTTCTGAATACAATGGAGTTTTCACTTTCTTTTCCTTCCCCTCTTTATTACTATGATTCTGAAATTGATCATAAGCAAAATATCCTTTGTTTCCATGATTTCGGCCTGCAAAATGGATTTTCTCTATTGCTAGCTATTAGTGCTATTTTCAATTTCTGCATGTAACCTACTTACCTTTTATGACATCAGTGAAATTCCTTCATTTTTGTTGTGCTTCTTCTTGCTTTCCAATTTCCATTCTTCTTTCTTTTCCTTCTTTTTTGGTTTTTTAAATCTTTCATGAATATATTATATGGAAGCTTTTTCATTTGACCATTGTCTATATTTACTGATAATTCCACAACCATATATTCTTCAAGGTGATAAAGTGAAGATAATCTAAATGGGTTGCACGGATATGCATTTTATCTTTCATGTACCAATTTGCTGTTCTTGTATGTTGATCCTCCTATGGAGTATGCTTCCTGGTATGACTTACAGAAGTTGATGAGGAGATTCCAAGCAAAGTGACTGCAAATTTTGTATTTAAATCCTTTTAAATCTTGGGAAATATGAGGAGGGAAAAAATAAAAAGAAAATAAGGAAGCTAGCAGTTCAATTTGGGCCTCTGTACTTACTGATAGCTCCTTAATTTGTACTTGTGCATCTTCCCTTTTTTTGGTTTTGTTTTCTGTATTTTCAGCTAATGATTCCCATCAATCTCGTTCTCATTTTCAGTTGTAGCTGTTCAAAATGCAATTGAAGCTTTATCCATTCTTCGGGAGAGAAAAGGAGGATTCGACCTTGTTCTAACAGATGTTCACTTGCCCGGAATGGATGGAATTGCCCTCCTTGAGCATGTCTTAAGAGAATTCAAGCTACCTGTCATTAGTGAGTACATAACATTCTTTCTATTGTTGATTGATGAGGGGTTTATTCGATCTATGTATGGTTGTCTCTGTTTCTGACTAGCTTAGATCTATCTATCTATCTATCTATCTGATAATAATGCAGTTATGTCAGCTAATGACAAAGAGAATATTATATTGAGGAGTCTACAAGCTGGGGCTTCTTATTACATCGGAAAACCTGTAACTTTAAACGATCTTCGAAATATTTGGCAGCATGTGGTTCTTAAAAGGAAAGAGGACGTGGTGGTAATGGAAAAGGCAGGGAGTGTTCAGAGAGCATCATCTGAGAAGGTATCTGGGGAGGATATTGAGTGTGAATCCTCCGTGAATGAAAATAACTGGAAGCGACAAGAGGCCAAGAGAAAAGCATCTCACAGCAATAAGGATGCAAAAGTAGAAGTAGATAGAAATGTTTCATTCAGCCCAAAGAAAGCAAGAGTGATTTGGAGTCCCGGGCTTCACAAGAAGTTCTTGAATGCTGTTGAGAAAATAGGCCTTGATAGTAAGTATCCTATTTTTAGTTGAAACTTAGTCAGGAGCCTCTCTCATCCATCTACTGGTCTCTTTTTCTTTTTTTCCTTTTTTTGATATTTATTATATTTATTTTATCTTTTCTATTTTCTTGATCCAGGGGCTGTCCCAAAGAAAATACTTGAGCTGATGGATACCCCAGGATTAACGAGAGAAAATATTGCAAGCCATTTACAGGTTTGCTACTTTTTAATTAACAACTACCATCTAGATATTGTTGTTTTAACATGTTACAAAATATTTCTTTCTTACTTGACTTACAGAGCAATTAGGAAATGATTAAAAGGTTAAAATTATAACTATAGATTTCATAAGAACTTCCTTGAAGTTGTCATTAATTTTATCCTTGTATTATTTTGTCTTGACATATATAAGTTTGTTTATAAAAAGAAAATTTGATATTAAAATTTTGAGGTAAAGATGAAAAATAACTTGTGATGTGGTTATTAGGTATTGGTATTAGATTAGTATGTATGGTTTCCAATTTAAGATAAAACCATGTTCTATCTACATAAATAAGAGATATTGTGGAAAATTTAAAGATACATCAAATGCAAATTTTTTAATGCTCTTATACTAACAATTTATTCTTCAATTTATATTATAAAAAATGAAACCCAATGAGAATTGGCTGAAAAAATTAAAAACCATTATTTTATCAGAATAGTTTTGAGGATCTATTGTCAAAAAACCAAATACATACAGTTCTATATCAATATATTTAACATTTTAACACACCATAATTGAAAGAACTTTGAAATTTATAATTGCAAATTAACTAAATGTCTATCAATATACTCAAATTAACAAATTATCTATATACCCATCATCATCATCATCCAAGCCTTATCTCAACTATATGGGATTTAGCAGCTTAGTTTCATGGCATCCTCCCACAATGGAGACACAAGATGGAAACTAGACCTATTCATGGGCCGAGTAGCCCGACAGGCTATCCAGGACCGGCCTGTTATAAGTTGGGCTCGGTCATAATTTTAGGCCCACGGGTTCAGGCTCGGGCCTTAAGCACTGGGCTTGACTTTTTTAGGGCTAGGCTCGGTTTTTCTCAAAAAAGCCTAGCCCGAGCCTGAGCCCAACTTGATACTATATATTAAATAATAAAATTATTTTATTTAATAAAAAATATATATACAATATTTTTCTCTTTTTTCCAAGTAATAGTGAGATGTTTATTATTTTTTAGTTTTGAAGGTTTTTAATATAAATAAAACACTTTTTTATTGAATAAAAAAGAAAACAAAATCTATTTTCAAATTTCTGGCCGGGTCCGGGCTTCAAGCTTTATATGAGGGCTGGGCTCGGGCTCAAGCCCGGGCTTCAGGCTTTATATGAGGGATGGGCTCAGGTTTAAGACCTAGGCCCGATGATCGGGCCAGCCCGGCTCATGAACAGGTCTAATCGAAAAAACACGTATCTGCAAGCTCTTCATGGCATGGCCAATGGGCATCACATGCACCGTGCACTTGTTCGCAATCTGTGTTTATTGCTAGTTCTACTAACCTCTGACCCACTAACTTTTCTCATACCAAAACACATAAACAACCAATTTGGTTATGAGATGCAGCAAAGAATTGCTACAATACTCTAAGATGGTGTTTGAAGCGTGGGCGCTTTTTGGGACTGATTTTCAAGAAAAAACGCCCATGTTTTCAAGACCCGTTTTTCACAAAAAATTGCTTCTACCACATAGACAGTGAGCAATATTATGTTGTTTGGTAAGGTGATTTTCATCACCGTTTTCATGTATGTACTGACAGGTAAGCACCACATAAGATACACATCAATCAACCGTTGGGGAAAATGGTTCACTGATGTATGAAATGCCAAATCGGTGGTGTCCCGATTTACGAAGCAATGCCCGATTTTTCAATAAACGCCTGAACCAAACATTCATATATATAGATATTTGTTGAAATGCCTATGTGGATCCGACGTGGCACCATTTTTTTGAAAAAAGGCCACGGTTCCAAACATCCCTAAAATGTGGTAAATAGAAGCCAATGCATAACTGAGTGAAGAAAAACGTTAACTACAGCCGATGTATGTATTAGTCAAGAAAAGAAAGCAGAAATGCCAAAATAGGTAAAACTTTAGAATGGAGATACTAGAGATTTATTTCTCAATTTGGTGATTCTTGCCTTTTAGGCATGATTTTGATATTTAAACCTCCTTTTAGGCGTGAATAATTAATAATATAACCCAAGTGACAGAATAACAAAACTTTTAAAGTAATGAGGTTGGATGTAATTTTGGAGTTTGATTTGTATGCATTTTTTATTGTTGTGGATTGGTTTGAGAATAGAAAAAAAACGTAAAGAGAGTTTTTTTTTATTTCCTGGTGAAAATTGACTTATTTGCTTAGAACAGTTTTTAACAGCCCCTATGTAAATTGTATTATTTATTTGAATTCAGTGATATATATATATATTGATAACTTTATCTCCTCTCTGTCATCCTACAATCACAATTAACTTACCTTGCATCATTAATTATGACTATCGTTATCTATGAGACCAAATTAATCACCCAAAAAAAAAAAAAACTCTAAATTGAATGAAGGAAAGAATACTATACCATAATTTTGAGCCTTAATTTTTGAGTAACGTGAACTTATCTTATGTTTATGAAATACTTCCTCTGAAATATTTGTATGTGGAATCTGCAGAAATATCGCATCTTCTTAAAGCGACTTAAGGAAGCAAGACAAGCCCTCGAACCAGGAATAGCTAGATCCTTGACCAGTGGAGCTCTTAAATCAAGCTTTGCAGTGGGTCATCCTTTGCTTGACCCGCCAAGAGGATTTCCAGCACTGCAGGATAGTCTGCAAAGTCGAACGCCATTAATCCGACCAGAACTTGGGAGTTCTTCCATGTCTCAATTAGGTTATGGACAGCCCATTCCAACGAGCAACCATGGCAATATGGTGCAACCTTTTCTTGGCTCTGCACCTTCTCTTAATCAACGAATGAGACCGCACTGTGTTGGAATGAGTTCATCCTTACTGGGAAGAGGTACAGGTACAATGCAGATGAACCCTCAACAATCTCAGATGCAAACGAGATATTCTGCCAACACATTATTGAACCTATACAGACACAACCACAACAGTATCAATCCAAGATTTGAGAACATGGGTTCATCCACTAAGCATAACCAAGCCCCAATTTTCAATTACACCAATAACAACCATGCTGGATTTCCGATGACGGATGCCGGAGAGTTGCAGGTTGGATTGGGTCAGATGATTTGTTTCAGTGGTAGACCATCAAATGGTATCAGTGGTAGCTACACCTCGATGGATAAGGCGCGTAAGGGCAAGGAAACTCTAACAGCAACGGGGAAATGTTCTCCATTTCCGGAGTTGATGAGCTCATTCCTTCCTGGTTTTGCTCCTCAATCACTGGCTTCTTCCGGTAGCAGGTTTCGAGGTGCAAACCATTTCCCAACCACGTTCCCCGGTGTGATTCAACAACCATCGCCACCACCAACTTGGCTACCGCCGTTCGCCAATAATGTGATTCAACAACAACCTCCATTGCCGTCGGCACTGCCTCAACAGCAAGAAGAAAATGAAAGTGGGATTGAAAGTGAACTCGATATCCTCCTTGAGCTCATAAAAAGCAGCTCTAGCGTTGAAAACACTTCACTCGCGCAAGCATTTGAATTTGATGACGGTGATGGTCATATTCATCGAACTAATTACAAGGCATGTCCATTGCATAGTTATGAAAAATAAGGCTCTCTTTAAACAGATGAATGAAGTCATCCAGAGAACATTTCACTCTAAATCCTGGTTTTCTTTAATTTTCCTCATCAATTAAAACACTGGTTTTGGTGTTTGCAGCAACAAGATGGCGAAGTAGTGATCGACCCCGACTTCGATATTAGTGCATATCAGGTGGACGGACTTCTAAATTGGCCATGATGAAGCTTCAATAACCAGTCTGTGGATTTGGGTTTTACTGTGGTTGAGTCTAATATTCGGAGGATTGTATATGTAAATATGTCCATAGAAAAATTATATATATATATATATATATATATATATATATATATTTCATGGAGAGAGTAGGTTTTTTGGGGTTCTATAAAATAAACTTCGTTTCAGTGTTCACTTGGAATAGTACCTAATTAAGCAAAAGCAACAGTCCTGCATCTGTAATATTAATGCTGCATGGAATTATTACCTCATTCATGATTAGCTATAAATTAAAGACCATATCTAGGGTTTGCACGCCTGCCTCGGATTTTTCTCCACGGAAAGCGAGAAAATAAGATTTCATGCAATAACCCTGTATTATATATATTTGAAGCCTGAACTGTAGCTAGAGGCAGACGAACACGCTCGAAAACTTGTCATATTTGTTTGCTCAATTATTCGTTCAATTCAAACTTCTGTGTTGGTCAACATCAGCTATTGGAAATTAATAAATCATCATTTGTTCCCTTCGATATTCGTTCTGTATGAGTCAAGCTGGTGATACCGCAAACCCTACGTTGTGTTTGCTAATTAAATTTCTGATAAACCAATTTTTTCATGTATTTCTTTGTTTTGTTTGTAATTTATGCAATCTTTCTTCATTTTCTGGGTTATTTTTGTAATTTATGTTATTTTTCCATGTATTTCTTTGATTTTTTGTAATTTATGTTATTTTTTCATGCATTTTTATGGTTTTCTTGTAATTTATGTTATTTTTCTTCATTTTCTGGGTTATTTTATAAATTTCTACAATATTTATTTTTTCTGTAATTTATGTTATTTTTTACATTTTCTAGAATTTGTGTCTCTCATTTACTGAATGAAAAATTAATGGGTTGGATTGGGTTATTAGTGGGTTTGGGTTTGAATCCAACCCATTTAATTTTTCATAAATGATTCATTAATGTGTTGATGGACCAAATGGGTTGGGTTGAAGCTCAACCCTAACCCGCTCAATTTCCACCCCTACCCAAAACGAGGGATCTCAGTGAGGGGGAATGGGGTTATTATTTACCAAACAAAACTCCCCATGTTAGGACCCATTTGGTGCATCTTTTGGGGAAGATCTTCTAGTAGCTCTGATAGTCAAAAGATGTATTGAGCTTTTGCATGAAGATCTGAGCAGCCTGAAGCACGTTTGATAGATGCACGTCTTTCTGTGCGAGATTAAAATGCTAAAGACCCGATGAGCTTCATTTAGAAATCCTGAAATCAGCCCAGAATGGGCTTTTTGCGTCTTTTCGGCGTTCTATCTTTTCCGACTAAATCTTCCACATGTCAAACGAAAATAAATCGACAATCAATTTTCACAACTTATAAATAACCGAAAGACCACACGAAAAGATACGTCAAACGGACCCTTAATTAATTGTATAGGATATGGACGTAATTAGTGCCGGTGGGATATGGGTTGGATAGGAATGTAATTGATGGTCGAAAAAGTCTGGGTGGGCCAATGCCCCCAAGGTTGCTAGGACTTGGGGGCGGCTTCGTTTTGTGAGTCAATTCTGGGCTGGGCTTCAACTAAGTCAAGTAAATTTGGCAAAGCCCCCGTCCCGCTTGAAAGAAGCACTTTTTCATCAAATACTTGAACACTCCCAAACGGGGCTTAATACAACCAACAACTAACGTATTTACTTTGGATTGAGTTTCGTAGCCCAATCCACATGTCTTGTGTTGTTTGTAACATATCTGAGTCCCTATAAATTGGCACATGGTGCATTTCCATTGTTTTATTTTGAGTTAATGATTAATTCTCCAACTTTCCATACGAATATGATCTATTCAAGCCGTAAACCATTTAATTTAGTAAGTCCATGTTTCGGTTGTTTATGTTAAATTTAATTGTTTATTGAATAAGTGTTTAAAAATAAATATTTATTTATATTGGGCACCTAATTTTTTCAAATATAAACACTTATTTCATATTGAGCATCAACATAAGCATTAGTGATTCTTTTGTTTTTCATTCTCTTTCAAATTTTTAAAATATATACCATGAGTGATAAATGACAAACACAACACATTCATGCATCTCTCTGAATGTCTTCCCCAATTATTTTATCATTTTTTGTTTTTCCCCGAAAGAATAGTCTAACAATGAAAGTTTGGTTTATCAACGGATCGAACCATGGATCTCATTACCCATCGACAAGTGCTGAAGGAACTGAGGCATTTTCCGACTCCTCTGTACGAAGCTGCTCTAAGAGGTGACTGGGAAACTGCTCATTCTCACTCTCAACGATTTTGCATTCAACGTTGGTTATAGTTGTGTCTGCACAAGGCATATATATATGCCTGAATCTGAACAAAAATTCATCCTGAATATTAACAGTGAACACACGACAAAATATCATTCGATCTGAAATAAAACATCTGGGAGTCAAAACATGTTATTCGCCACTTTTTCTGATTCTCAAGCAAAACATCTGGAGTCCAAAAACGAAAATACCGATTGATTTGAAACACCAATCTACTGCGATTTCCACCGCTGGTAATAGATTGCCGCTACTGGTTCAATTCCTGCCGCTGGTTCAGTGAGAGGATGAAGGAGAATATTATAAATCGCGAGAAGGGTAGAAATCGCAATGAATGAAAGCTCAATACTTCGCCATAAATGAAATCTTGCCTCATAATCAATCGTTGGTTATAGAGAGCAATGGAGAGAGATTGTATCGATGGGCTAAGCTCTAGGCTTTTAGATTCGAAGGGCATTAATGGTATTATAAAAATTTATTGGTGATAATTTTGATAGAAAAAAAATGAAACAAGTGTTCATTGTTTAAGCACTTAAAAAAGGTTTCTAATTTAAGCTTAAAAAATAAATTCTTATTTTTAAAATAAATACTTATTTCAAGTTTATTTGACAAACACCAATAAATACTTAATGGAATGGTTCCGGCCCAAATAAATATTTATTTTTAATAAAAAATTATTTTTAAACACTTTCAAACATGGTCTAAATTTTATAAATTCAATGTTTTTTCATGATTTTTTAATAAAAGAAACAGCGCTATAATATAATTTTAACAAAGTTGAGATAAAATTTAAAAATTCTACCGGGATTTGCTAAATTAAGCTCACTTAACAGATAATCAATTCCCCATCAGCCTTTACAAGGAATATCTCCTTTACTCCTTATTTATGTAAGGTTGTTTGCACGATGTGAGCATGAGCTTGCCCGAACCCCGAAGCCTATCTCTCTCTTGAACTGCAACGTATTCATACGTCAGGAGACTCAGGACTCAGGACTTCAGGAGTTGCTGTTGGTTGGTTCGCTCAGCTTGAATTTGGGTTTGTCTTTTCACAATTTGTGTAACCGTTAGTGAACTCACTAGGGGTAGGGTTAAATATGATAATTAATTAAATTTTTATATGTTATGAATTTAAAGTTCAGAAGAACTAGGGACAGAATGGACAACATCGGTTTGAGAGTAAGACAGTAAAACTGCATTTGGCATTTCTTATTTTAAGGATTTAAAATGTCACTACGAATACTGAGTGTTTAATTACAAAAAGGAGCTTAAAATAAGGAATGCCAAATGCAGCCTAAGAAACAAAATAAAAACCGGTTTGAAAACTGGAACCAGATAGTCAAACTATGTGGCATGGGACAGGCCAAAGTCAGTTCAGTCTGATGCACTGATGCAAGACTTACATTAGGCTGTGTTTGTTTAAGGTGTAAATGTGGATTGGGGTAAACTTTACACTCCGGTTCAATTTTATTAATGTTTGGATGAGATGTTATTTTACATCTTAGATGAGTGTAAAACTCCACTTTAGGTAAATTTTACATCGAAAATCGGTGGAAAGTTACCACCAATAAAATTGATGTAAAACTCCCTAATTTCACTCTCGTCTATTTGTACCTACCTTCCCCTTCTCCCCTTCTTCCCTTCTCCGATCAGTCTTCAACTTCCGTTAAGACTCCACCATCGGTGTTGCAGAGCACAGAGGAAAACGAATCGAAGCTCGCACCTCTTCTTAGCGTTGTAATGATAAACTAGGTTCTACTACCGTTTCCACCATCTCAAAGCACAGAGGATCAACGGCGGAGGACAAGATGCAAGGGTAGGCAGGGTCAAGCTCTTTATGGGATCTGAGCATGTCTACCCATCCCGAACAGACTACACCATCACTATGCTCTGTATCCGGCATTTCCACCATCTCAGCTCTGCACTGGGCTCAATCTCTTTTTCTTCCCTTCTCTCTCTCTCTCTCTCTCTAATTTTTCCTGTCTTCTCTCTCCTTCATCGGCGTAGTGATGAGATGTAAGGGTAGGCAGGGTCAAGCTCTTTGTGTGATCTAAGCATGTCTACCCATCCCGAACGGATTGCACCGTACTATGCTTTGTATCTGGCGTTTCCACCATCTCAGCTCTACACTGGGCTCAAGATATGATATGGAACTTTTTAATCTGCATTTAGATAGGCAGGGGTAGGCAAAGGTAGGCAATGGCACTGGGCTCAAGATACAGACCAATAAGTTTGTTCTCTTACAAACTGAGATGTCCTTAAAGCAACTGTTCCCCTACCATTCTCTTACAAACTGGAATTACAATGAGATTAAAACTATCTGGATTACAAACATTTGAAACTATTTGAATGTTTAAGTTAGGTAGGCAGGGGTAGGCAAGGGTAGGAGTGAAACGTTTAAATTACTTGATCCTCCAAACATGATGAGTGTAAATGAGGCCAACAACCGGTTCCCATTTTATACCCTCATCAAACCAGTTCTCATTTTACATTCGGTGTAAATTTGTTTTTACACTTCAAACAAACATAGCCTTAGTGTTCAATGGTTGTGTAACCAAAAGGATGTGGATCCAACCCATCATAATGCCCCACGTTAGTTATAAAAAAAAAACATATGATCTACAACCATTTATGGGGTGTTCCACGACTCCGGATCTCCTTCCCATAAGAATTCTACCCACGTCTACCCAC